CCTTACTGTGTGGTAATCTCACCATACTTAGATATAATGACACCTTACTGTGCTGTAATCACACCATACTTAGATGTAATGACACTATACTGTGCTGTAATCACACCATACGTAGATATAATGACACTTTACTGTGCTGTAAAGACACCATACATAGATATAATGACACCTTACTGTGCACACCATAAAAAGATGTAATTGTGCCTCAGTGTGATATACACCTACCTTTTCAATATGAATACTAATCAGTTGTATATTTATCTGCTTGTAGATTGATGCAGACAATACTCATTCCGGTCAATACTTGTTATCAGATTATCAAGATTACCAAGATCCACAGGTTGAAAAGTATGATATTTTGAAATCTCAATGTAAGGAACAAATGACAGTTGGATTTAAAAATGGCCGAAGTGACAGTTGTAGTACGCAGATTACATTCATCAATGATAGTGGGTCTGGTAACCAAGGTAACAGAAGACAACATAGAGATATTTGTGATGAGGATGAAGGTCTACCAAATGCAAGATTATCATCTACTGCAAGTGATGGTAAAGAAGATGGTGATGTCATGAGAAAACATTGTAAGGACAAACAGACACCACCCTTGGCCGTGGTGCTTCCTCCAAAATCGCCTGATGACTACAGTCAGTTAACTAATAATGATAACATTCATTTAGCAAAAATGCCAAGTTGGAATAATTCAAAAATAAAATCACAATTACCAAGTCAGCAAGGATATTGCAAAGTTACAGAAAAAGGTGTTGTCATGCCGACAACCATGCAAGCACCAGTACCTAGAGTTGGAATAGTGCATACACCGACACGTCAGCCCAAAATATCAGTCAATGGTGTCCATGGCAACAAAACATTAACATCATGTCAAGTGACTGCAAAACAAGCTGCAGTACAGATACATAACCCATGCAATGTCAGCAAAGTGTCAGCCAATAGAAATCAAGCATCAAAAAGTGATGAGGATCTTGGGTACAGCCAAGTGTCAGCCAATAGAAATCAGGCAACAAATAGTGATGAGAATCTTGGGTACAGCCAAGTGTCGGCCAATAGAAATCAAGCATCAAACAGTGATGGGGATCTCGGGCACAGCCAAGTGTCGGCCAATAGAAATCAAGCATCAAACAGTGATGAGGATCTTGGGTACAGCCAAGTGTCGACCAATAGAAATCAGGCATCAAACAACGATGGCCACATCACAACCAATGACAATGCTGCAATTTGCAATCAAGGTGATAATGGCTATTGTAAAGTTACTTCTAATGGCCATCCAGTGATTCAGGATGATTCTTCTAGCATGTGGAGTGATAGCAGTGAAAGTACTTACCCACCAGACAGCATTGATGGTGAAGAAGTGATGCATCAGTCACCACATAGCATGTCTGGTTATGTAGAGCAGCAACCAACAACACAACCCGTAAATAATACTGGTGTGAGACAAGGGGCTGCTGGCGATCAATTGACATCACAACACATACATGGTTATGTTGCACATTGTGCTACTGGTAGTCAGCCAATAGACAGACAACAAACATCACAACCCATAAATAATGGTTATGTTGCACATGACGGTACTGGCAATCAGCCAATAGACAGACAACAATCATCACACCCTATAAATAATGGTTATGTTGCACATGACGGTACTGGCAATCAGCCAATAGACAGACAACAAACATCACACCCTATAAATAATGGTTATGTTGCACATGACGGTACTGGCAATCAGCCAATAGACAGACAACAATCATCACAGCCCATGAATAATGGTTATATTGCACATGATGACACTGGCAATCAGCAAAGGAACGGACACCAAACATCACAACCCATAAATAATGGTTATGTTGCACATGATGGTACTGGCAATCAGCCAATGAACATACAGCAAACATCACAACCCACAAATAATGGTTATGTTGCACATGATGGTACTGGCAATCAGCCAATAAACATACAGCAAACATCACAAGCTATAAATAATGGTTATGTTGCACATGATGGTACTGGTAATCAGCCAATGAACACACAGCAACCATCACAACCTATAAATAATGGTTATGTTGCACATGATGGTACTGGCAATCAGCCAATGAACACACAGCAACCATCACAACCTATAAATAATGGTTATGTTGCACATGATGGTACTGGCAATCAGCCAATGAGCACACAGCAACCATCACAACCCACATAGTGACTATGTTGCACATGATACTGGCATTCAGTCAATAAAATATACCTGTACACAACGACTATGTTGTACATGATTCTACTGGAAATCAGTCAATGAACAAATGCCAAAAACATCACAACCTATAAATGTTTACTATGTTGCATAAATAATGACATGGTACATACAAATGTGCCAAAACATTTACCAACAAAATTTGAGAAAGGAGAGAAAAATAGTGATGTTGCTATGGA